TACTTGCCGGTATTTAGGTGGATTGTACAGGGTGTAACCTGGGAATTGGTAGTACTTCAGTTTGTCTTCCGAAATGTTTGCTTCCATAATTGTAAAAATGTCTACATCATAGGTTTGTAGGATTTTCTGTACTTGGATCTTTTTATCCGGAGACATTCCTCCAGCAATCCACTGGAGGATCTGAAAACCCTGTGATTCGCCCTGACGAGGACAATTTCTCTTATAGCCTTTTTTTCAAGCTAATCATAATTAATCGAAGTCAAATCAAATGCCGAGTGATAGACTTTTTTGCCGTAAGAAAATACGTTGTCCAGGGTGCACCACGTGGAGGTAAGTCTATCGCGCACCCCTCATATAAACATGGAATATCCAATAAAATTGAATTGTCTATCGCGCACCCCCATTCAAACAGCTGCTTCACTTGTACAAACTCTTCTTATCGAATGTCTTCAAATCTGGTCAATCTACCATGCATCCTCCACAATGCTTAATTCATTTTGGCACTTCTTAGAGCCGCTGCACTTGGCATTCTCTTCAAAGTGTCCGATTTCTGTGTTGGTCTCACAATTTTTTAGCTTTTAGCAATTCGTGAATCTCTAGTTACAGCTGCTGTGTTTGTTTGTTAAAATGTTCAATTTCCTCTACTCTACTCCACATATTTGCAAAAGTGCTTTCAATTAATTTTACAACAGTACCCGCTGATGACACATTTGAAAAAATTCATCTTATTGCTAAATCGAGTTATCGAAAGCTTTAAGCGCAACCTATCAACATTAGACACAGGCTTTTCTTTAATTTGTTTAAAAAAACACTTTTAATAGAGGTAATTGCTAGAGAGAGTGATAAAGCGAATATGCCTAATCAACCCAATTGCAGATTTGCTTGAAATATATCAAATTAAGCAAATAGGGGTCAATTATTTATTTATTGATTTCAAATGACAAACGTTTTGATAGTTATCATTAGCCCTTGAACAGACTTCGGACTCTACAGAGGGGAGGTACACCATAGTGGGAAAAATTCGAGAGGGGGGGGGGAACAGAGGAGTGATTCACAGATGTAAAGAGACAAATGGACACAAGTGCAGAGAAAAGGTAAAATGAGTATTGTTGAAATGATCAAATTTGACATACAGTGGGGTCATGGTGGCTTGAAGTCAGAAGTCAACTGCCGGTTAATAGACTTTTTGCTTGAAGTCAGAAGTCAACTGCCGGTTAATAGACTTTTTGCCTAATGAGAATATTTTGCTCAGGGGTCAATTAATGAACCAATTAAATTAGATGCTGACCCGGTGGAGATACTAATGGATCATTTCGTAGCAACGAGCCATACAGCTCGCTGAAAGAGTACATATTGTTGTTCAACGGCAGCAATCAGAGCTAGAATTCACTAAATTCCTTTGATAGGATATGCTGCATATGGTAGAAAACGTAATATGAGAATAGGCGAAAAATTTTACTCTGCATTCCAATTAACGGTTTGTACGTTCCACCTCGAATCGCCTATTTTGCAACGCGGTTGCCAACGAAACTTGACTAGGAGAAAAATGTAGTTATAAAGAAGTGTGTTGTCTTTTTCTTAACGATATAGCTCACTGCTATTGGTCATGGCTCTTAGCACAAATATCAGAGGAATGATTTGTGGTTGCTGAAACTAGTTTGTGACGTAATCAGATTATGTGGTTCATGCAACCGCAGAAACAGCTCGCACTGACCGTTCTGAACATCAGTGAAACGCCAGTTAGTTAGTGTTAGTTTACCTAAGATAAAGCCAATTGAAAATGAATTGTTATGTTCATGATAGTGAGTTTAAGTAATTTCTGTGTAAAATACGGCTTACTGATACCATTCAGTAGAACTGTAGAATGATTATAGGGGAAGATTAATTAAACAGTAATAAGAGCTAGAAGAAAATTTGCACTTTTAAGGCCATAAAGTGGTTTAGTAGTGAGAGGGGGGGGGGAGGGATATGAGGCTAGCACCCTGACCATGACTTTGTTTTAAGGTGTCGAATTGCACATTTTAATCATCGGGGGAAATTCAATTTTTTTCCTCGAATTGGCCAATTGTTAAAAGTGAAAAAAGGTATAAGGAAACATTTAGTATTTTATACTTTGTTTATTATTTGCCAAATCAAGTATTAATTGATGCATATGTCAATGTTAAAAATATTTATATCAAATGGCAGGCTTTATGATAGTTATCATTAGCCCTTTAGTTGACTTCAGGCTTCACAGGGGGAGAGGAACATCAAATCGAAAAAAAGTCGAGAGTGGAGGGTGAACAGAAGAGTGTTTCAAAGACGAAGGTAGAAGAAAGGTGAGGTGAGTACTATGAAAGTAGTCGAATATGACATACAATGAGGTGATGGTAGTTTGAAGTGAGAAGTCAACTGCCAGTTAATAGACTTTTTGCCGCATGAGAATAGGTTGCCCAGGGTGCACCACGCAGAGATAAGTCTATCGCACACCCCTGCTTGTGAAATACAAATCCTGTCATTGATGCGTTGCTGTTGTTACTGCGAACACTACGATCATGATACCTTGAGAGACCTATGTCATTTAGCTTTAATAGAAACCTCCGAGGATTGAACTGGCGTTACCAGTTGGTAAATTCGCGAGAAGAAAAGTAACCGGATATGAGAATTGCGCTCAGGCATAATCGTTGCAACTTTTAAAAATTGGTTTATAGTACCCTCAACCGGAAATCATCTCATTTACCTTCATTTACTTACGACAAGAGGCAAACACAACAACAGCAATTTTTTGTACATTGAGACAGCTCCTGATTCAAAGCAAACACGAAAGTAGAACTCGTACTCAATCAAGAGCCTTAATGGAAGTAATGACTCTGTGAGAACTTTCGATTTTTTTCTGTCAAAAGTTAATAGGTTAAGATCTACAACTTTACATCCTTGCTTCTTCCAAACTATGAAAATCAGAACGAGAGAATTTGTCAATATATAGTCATTAATCATTTTACTTCTCTGTACATAAATACAAATTAAGCCACCTTAGGCTTGAAATTTTGCTTTCTTGGTCTTCTTAACTCTCCTCTTAGCGGGATTCCTCCTTTTACTCCCCTCAACGGCGGCTCTATTTTCCTGTTCGTTCTCCTCCTCCTTCTCCTGCTCGTCTTTTTTTTCTGGCATCTCTCGAACAACCACCTCAGTCTCTGGCGCCTCAATTTCCAAACCACCCATTTCGAAGGCGTCTGGCCTCTGAATTACCACTGAATCCACCATCTCAGAGCCCCAAGCCGATAGAGCTTGAAGAGCCAGTTGTATATCAACAACCAGACCCATTCGAGAATTAGTGGCTGATTCTCGATGGCGAGCAAATCCTCCAGCTCGATGAAGATTCTCTTCGCTGAACTGCTTCAATTCACAAAGCTGGGCACATTTAGCTGTATCCTTGATACGGAGACCTATCCACTTTCCTGAATGCCTATCCCAGAAGTACTCAAACATATCCCATTCAGCAAGTCGGTTCTGCGATGAGAAAAAAAGAGCAGTTAAAGCAACCCCAATTCAGGCATTAGTATCACTTTACTAATCCAATTGAGTAAAACTTAGACCGGTTAAAGCAAATTTCTTATAGTCTTGGCCAACTGGAGAAAATCAAGAGTTGGACAAGAGTGATGGGACAAGTGGAACCCGAATTATCATAAAGAGGACATAATATAGGCGGGTTTAGACATTCCGACTGACAGGGAGGTGCAACCATTAATGAACAATTTACTGACGGTCAGAATGCACATAAATATGAATCCGCCTGTCTATGCCATAAAGTTAAGTTTCTTATAAAGGCCTTCGAAAGCGGGGGAAATGCGAGTGGGTGGGGATGTGGGGTTTAAAATTAATTGTTGACTGCACGCTTCATTGGTCACTCCAGCTTTCCCATCTATTGTTTCAGTGAAATTACTCCATGAAAGCGGGGAAAAGTCAAATGAAGGAGAGGGAGACAAAGGAAAAGAAAGTTGAATAAGTAAACTGGAACACACTTGTAACGAACGGTTCAATGGCACTTAGTGGTATTTTTGTGTCGCCTAATTATTTTCTTTTACGATTGGCCTGATAATTCAATAAGTGAAATCTGAGATCAATTTTAGCGCATTAACTTAACAAATTAAATATTTACACAGGAAATGAATTAATTCCATTAAATAACAAAAGCAATTACAAGTATATGCATTGAGGAAACTTTGAAAGGAAAAGTATTTTAGTCCAATCAACAGTCTCTCCTTCAGATGTACATTTGTAATACCAGCGGATGCTAATTAAGTGAGTTCAAGATGAAAGAGCTTCAAGCCTCAAAATGTTGGAAAATAACAATGAGGCGAAGGAGATCTTTAATCGTCCACTTGTTTATCAAAAGAAAAGTGACTTTTGGAGTATGAGGAAATGCGAATTACAAGCCGGATGCATATACAATTATCGTGAAGACGCGCCTACACATTTCGCAATTCTCGAAAGCTTGTATGGCTTTAAAAAAAGGAATATTTGGGAACATTAAAATATTTACCTTTCAATTTAGGACAGAACTTTAGAGTTCATTTTTTACTAATAACTTGCACCCACGGGTAAAACCTTGTGACCTCATAAAGAAGCGTACCACAGTTCAAAGAGGAGTTGATATCAAGGTTATTGATTGTTCCAACTAAATTATCTGCACTTAGTGATTAGACCACTAAATCTCCGTTATTTTGGTAGTTTAATTGAGTCTAGCAAATTCTCAAAACATTCAATACTCCACAAGAAATTAATAAAAAACAAGCTCACTTGAATTTGCCGTAGAACCCAGAGAACGGGATCACACAGATATCCTGAAGGCCAGTAACTCGCACCAGGATGCGGAAGGTTCAGAGTGACAGGTTCAGACTCCTTCATCGTCGTCTCACTTGGATCAATATGCGAATTCATCAATTCGCCAGATTCAGTTTTCTTAATAGCCCATTTTGGAATCACCAAATCAACAGCTTCCAAGATGCGTGTCTTGTAGACGGAGGGTCTGAGTTTAAACAACACGTCCATACTGGCTAAATCGGGTCGGAACACCGCCTAGAGGAAATAAAGGCAGTACAAGACAACAATAAGGAACTTGCAAACGCTAAAATAATTACATCTTGTCATCCAACTAATGACCAAATATGCTCTATGCTCAGAACAGAATTAGGTCTTCCGACTCGCTGGGTTACTTAATTACTGCACTTCCATGTTCATTTCTGGGAAGAGGAAGTCTCTTCCATCTAGAACATTACGGGCCGAATGGAATGCCAATCGTTCCCACTCATAGAAGCAGACTTTTTGGTAGTTTTCTACCGCCTTCTTCCTATTGGGTTTGAGCAACTTTAGACACAGGACAACCCCCAGTGCACAACTTACAATATTGAAATGGCAGCCTGGATAATATTTATGACTGATTAATTCTACGCTGCCACATAAAAAACAGATTAATATATATAGAGAAATGAAATAAACCAAATTGCATTCGAAAGTTGTTCGTAAAATTCACGAAAATTATACTTTGCTCATAAGACCAATAAGGCACCAAAGAGAAGCCTTTCGGACGAATAATTAAAAGACTTTGAAAGCTGATCTTCAACAACAATGATTAATATTATTGGTGAAAAGTTAAAGAATAGATCTTGCCAACGAACCTATTAAATAAAAACGTCAATTACCTCAGAACAAATCACTTCAAAAATTAAAAAAACGCACAAACGCCATGCATTTACAAGTCTAGCACTGCAAATAAATCCAGTATATATTGCCCGTTAAGAAAATAAAATGAGCTTACCTTGAGGTCAGAAAGATCGGCTCCAGCAAAAAGCATGGCCTGTAGAAGTTCATGGGAGAACGCGGCCAACTTCTGAAGTCGGCGAAGACCTTGAACACTTAGGCCTTGTCTAGTCCAGTGAGTACCGTTAGGATCAAGTGGTGTGCCAATAACCATAGCAGGCAGCTGATCTCGAGGCTTGATTTTGAACTCCGTCACTGCAACCATTGCCTTCTCCAGACCAGCCTCTACCATGATTCAAAGGAAGAAAGAGATGATAAATACTATGCTAAGAAGAGCATATTTTGCCTAAAGGAAGTCGACAAACGAAGCCCAATGTAACAGTGTTTATATTCTACATAACGGGGTGTGCGATAGATTTACCTCCACGTGGTGCACCCTGGGCAACGTGTACTCAAAGTCTATAAACAGGCAGTTGACTTCTGAGTTCAAGCTATCATAACCCCACTGTATGTCATATTCGACCACTTTCACAGTACTCACCTCACCTTTCGTCTACCTTTGTGTCTGTCTCTTTTACATCTTTAAAACACTCTTCTGTTCCCTCCCCCCTCTCGGCTTTTTTCGCTTTGATGTTCCCCTCCCACTGTGAAGCCTGAAGTCAACTAAAGGGCTAATGATAACTATCATAAAGCCTTCCATTTGATACAAATAAATATTTTACCTAGGGATGAGCGATGTCCACAGGTTTTCCTTAAGACCTCCATCAACTTAATCGGCATGCTGTTGCGAACGCCGTTGCTGGTAGCTTTCTGGATAATCTGGACATAAACAGCTACCAATTCAGAAATCCCTTGACCTCCAAGCGTCAACCTCAAAAAGGCAACTTGTCTATATTTTTAATTAGACCTTGTTTACTTAATGAAGTGTCTTGAAAGCAACTGCTCCTCTCTAGGTCTGAATCAACCTAGAACATCGTGCTTTGACCAAATGAGGATAAAATGCATTCGGGCAGAGCACCCGAACACAAAATAGTTGTCCACGTATGTGGTTTAGAAGAATAGGCATCCAAACATCAGGCTCATCGGCACTCATGAGGGTATGACGATCAAAGATAATACTCAGGGTTACACTGCCTACCATTACCAAAAGGATTAAAAACATCATTTTAGTGTTTAATATGCACACTTAAAACTGTGGATAATTAATTTCAGGAAATAAATAAATCTTAATTTGACGAGCGTGCGGTAGGTAGAAAAAGTAACTTTTCCAAAAAGTTGGTATTGAGTTTACAGAATTCGCTAGCGCTTTTCTCCCAAACAAGACCGGAAATTAGGCACAGATGCCTACTTAGTATTGTACCGGATTGAAGACACGAAAAAAAACCAGAGCAGAAGGCGGGGAAACTTACTTCCTTTGAACTCTTCATTCAAATCCACCAGAAGAATATCATTTTCCCAATCAAACGAGTAGATAAGACGAAGAAACCTCAAGAAAGTGGCGAGAGGAGAAGCTGAGAGGAAGTTTTCACTCCCAGAGCCTGGTACTCCAGCAGAATATGATGAGGTGTTCACAGCTTCAGTAAAGCCACCAGCATGAACAACCAACAACTCCACAGCGATTTCCGTGAGACGACAACCAGAAGCTCCCAGGTCTGCATCACCCAAACAAACAGGCTCACAATCAAGCCCCCACATAGGTTCAGAGGAGATATCTGGACATTGAATGACCGGAATACCATGGGCGGAAAGCCAGCGCTTGGCCAGACGACAAGCATCCGGAAAGGTGTTTATGTGAGACCGCGCGATAGCCACCAATTGACTGGCGATATCTGGCAGACGTTGGTTGAAACTTAACCATTTGATCAAGGGTTCTGGCTCACATTCATCTTGCTCTTGCTCCTTTTCTTCGGGCAAGTCTTTTTTTGACTTGAACTGGTAAGGTTTTGTTAAACCTAGGGATCGACGCAGAAGTTTTAATTCAAAGTTGTGGCAGAAACTCAACCGGAGAATTAAACCGTTCTAAATAAACAACAGAATGAAGTGATTAAATTAGGAAATTGCCAACGAGTAGCAATACTTTGTTAGTGAAGTTAGAACAAAAAAATACGGACAATCTTTCGAATGACTCATTCAAATAACAAGTTTGAGATTGCTTTTAGTGAAAATGTTATTCAATCACATTTTATTGACCAGAATCAACCAAGCCCGTTGGTCACCCCTGCACACTGAGTGTAGCCAAAGGGCATTCAACTCATGGCCTTTGACTTAATAGAAGTGCATATCGGTCCCAGTAGTACTGACGAGAGAAGAGTAAGTAGGAATGACCACTAAAATAGTTTCTAGGTTGTCAAGATTTTACTTCGAAATATGAAAAAAGTACTCTTTTAACCAAAAATAATCAAAAGCTCCTCCATTTATAAGTATTTAATGTTTGTTAGAGATAAAAGGTATAAATTACAACCATTTAACGCAGAAAATAACAAAGGCAACTTACTACGAGTATATCAAGCATTCCAGTTGATACAACCCTGGATGGGACTCCAATATGAACTAGAAGTTCCTTGATTCGAAGTAGAAAGAGGCGTTTCATGTGAAGAAAGGCGGTATAGTTATCCTTTGGCCATTTGCCGGAGGACTGAATTTGCATGATTGCTGTAAAACAAAGGCCATTAATACAAAAAGATCAACAGCACGACAAACGAAATGGATTCGAACGTACCATAAATAGGCCTGAGAGAATGGTGAACATTATGCCAGGGATTATCAGCAGACTTCTTTTTACGAGTGCCATCACGAATATCAATTATAGGAGCGAAAACAGATGTGCCACGAAACTCCGCAGAGACTGGTTGTACATCCATGATATTCAATGGAAGATGTTTGTTGAAACCAGAGAGAATATCTCTAAGTGAATTCAAGGAATTTATCAGATGGAGAGTGCTAGCTCTTGCCGGCAGTCTCAGAGTTGAGTAAGAAGGTGAAATTGACCGCAAAATGCCGTTAAGACTTGTGCATGATACTTGATACCATAAATCCGATATGGTGTTGATTGGGACATTAAGCTTCCTTGATAATGCATAATCAACAATTTGAGACGTAATATCCTTATTTGAGTCCCAGATAACGCATTCGTAAAGGTCACCATCAAGATGTCGAATTTCAGATTTATTACCCCAAAAGTTACGAAAATATTGTCCTGCATCCGTACCACTTCTGGGACCACGAATAATCGGAGAATATAAGGATGACGAATCTAATTTAAGACCGATGGCAAGGAAAATAGCCTAAATACATAAAAATATGGAATAAAATCTACATTTTGCTTGAGAGGAATGTTTAAGCCAGTAACTCCACGAGCCCGTGTGCCAAAAGCTTCACGAATGTGAGACTCGAGATCAAGAAGACATGTTGAGTATTCAGTGTCATTTTGTAACCATAAAGACCGAAGACGAGGGTCATTGAAATTAAATCTATGGGAGTGAAATTTAAAATAACCTTACATGACAACATGGTCAAATTTTTCCAAGGTATCCATAAGTACGAAAACGTGTATTAATCAATTGAAGCGCATCTTAAAGTATTTACTAAAACAAATGCATCCAAAGTAAAAAGATTATTTTACACAGACAAAATAGACGAAACTTTAAAATGCAATTTTTTTCTTCCAATTCATTTTTAAATGAATATTTTTCAATGTGATTTTGTTAACTTAAAGCAAACGAATTCAGACTAATTTTAATTTGTACTAATAAAATTTTTAAAACCCGTCTGATGTTTACTGAGTCCTTAAAACCTTTTGTACTAATATATTATCACGTGGTTCTTTTGTTGCATTATCGCTTTAGCTTTAGTTCCTGGACCTGATCTTCCGTTTCCTAGTTTTAAAGTTCTTATATCTTTGCTTTGTACTGCTGCAAGTTAGTATTTTTAATGTTTCCAAATATCCTAAAGATTTATATTTTTGCTTGCAATGAGTCCAATACTTCCCCTAACTTCATTGCTTTTGCCTAATTTCGTTTGAGGGTTTCAATTTTTCCTTCTACTATTTTAGCTGTTCTTTGCGAAGCATCTTGGCAGGCCATTTCTCTCTTGTAGAGGGCTATTTTTTTCTCAGCCTTTCACATTCTTACACAAAATGGAGAAGTTTGACTCATCACAACGCCTATCCCTTCTTCGTAAGGAGATGAGGAGTCGCAGTCTCGATGCTTTTCTTCTTCCTATGGAAGATAGTCATTTTAGTGAATATCTTTCAGCTGCAGATGAAAGAATCGCTTTCATATCTGGATTTACAGGCTCTGCAGGCACTGCTGTAATTACTGTCGATGATAAGGCTGCTCTTTGGACTGATGGTCGATATCATAACCAGGTTCGCCATCTCATCAATTTATCGATTTTTTAGTTGCTTGCCTTCCTTCTATTATCATTTGTAAGCATATTCCTTAATTAGAAAGGTTTGGTGATTTTATTAATGTGAAAATATGTTTTGTTCATATTATTGGATTCTGTTTTCCCATCCGCTTTCCCATATCACAAATTTGTTTAAGACTGTCCCACGGTTGATCTTTATCACAGTTGTAGCGTGGTCGCAATTTCTTATTTAGTTTGCTCTAATTAATGTAACAACAAAGTGCCACCATCCAAACCTGCACATTTTTTTCATTTTCCGTTGCGCCTTGTCAAACGACTCAAATCCTCCACTTTTAATCATTTTTTTGCGGAACTAAGTAAGTTACCGATGTATGACGGCATGCAGACGGAAAATCTCTATTATTTGGTCTAAAATCTCTGGAATTATGATAGGCCATAGAATCGACTGTGTTTTTATCTTATTTTTAGACGCCATATATTTAATCTGGTTGCTTACCTTGTTAGTCTGTCTAAATCCATGATTGATGGAAAAAATTGCCACTGGACATTATGAATTTGGCTGGGCGGTTACTCTTATTTATGAACTATATGCAGGCTTCCGTGGAACTTGATAATAATTGGATCCTCATGCGTGAAGGTCTTCCGGACGTCCCTACAATTCCATCTTGGCTGGCCAAAACAACTCATTCTTCATCTCAAATTGGTTTTGACCCTAGCCAGTTGCCATTCATTAACCTACAAAAATTCCAGCGTGAGTTGTCTGACGTATCGCCTGAGCCCGATGCTACTCGCCAATTCGTACCTGTTGAAGGCGCAAATCTAATTGATATTATTTGGAATGACCGTCCTGCTCGACCCAATAAATCCATTCGTACTGTTTCCGTAGAATCTTTTGCCGGATATTCGTGGGAGGCTAAACTCGACATTCTTCGCGAACGCATGAAAGCCAAAAACGCTACCTCATTAATTCTCTTTCAACTTGATGAAATTGCGTGGCTCTTCAATCTTCGTGGCTCAGATATTAGCTACAATCCAGTCTTCTTTTCCTATGCTGTCGTTATGTTGGAAGAAGCTCATCTTTTTGTTGATTGGAAACGACGTTCAATTTCTATCAACTTTGAGGAACACTTCAAGTCGTCTACCCATCCAGTATATACAATTTAAATTTCTATTTGATCCCTCTACTGCTTTAAAACAAGTAGTTATTATTACTTACATTCAGCTGTACATTCATTCCTACGGTGAATTCAACTCTTGGTTGAACTCGAATTCCATCTGGAGAAGTGGTCGAGTTTGGCTTCCTGTAGTGTCAAGCCATGCCATTGTGTCCGTTGTTCCTGAGAAGCAGCGCTTCTTCGATATCTCCCCAGTGTCTACCATGAAAGCCGTCAAGAACTCTCATGAAGTGGAGGGCATTCGTTTGGCTAATTTTACTGACTCACTGGCCCTGTGCGATTTTCTCGCATGGCTGGAAGATGTTGCCCAGAATGGTGAAATGAATCCTAGAGCTGTTGTGCCCTGTAATCTTGAAGGTGTTGAACCTCCACAACGTGCTACTGAAGCTTCTCTGGCTATGTATTTGGATAAAATTCGGAATGGGGCAGATGGTTGCCTTGGACTTAGCTTCCCTACCATTCCCGGAGCTGGTAAGAGCCAAATTTGTGAATATTTGTATTTCATTGACTACTAATCCCCCTAAATGGGCAATTGGGTGATAATTATAGATACTAGCTTCCAAGATTAAACTATGATTTTCTGACTCTTGCATTTGAATTTCTCCAATTGCCTAGAGTCTTGTACCTGATTTGACCAAATTCTAAAACTGTTACTTTATATGAATTGCAGAAATATTCATTGATATAGGCTAGCCAGGATAATCTGATGCCATTAGTTTCCATGAATTTTCGCACAACAGGACTCACTAGCGCGTAAATCCACAAGTCTGACTCATTACTAAGCTTAAAAGATGGATATATGCTCGCATTTTCTCATTTTGTTGAGGCCTCTTCCAATTGTACTGAAAATTGCCAAGACTCGGTTTCAACTAAAATAAGGATTGCTCTATCCCCATATTAAAGAGACCATCGATAGTTAATTCAAGCTTTCTTGCTTTGGCAACGCCCACAGTACATGGCAAGTCCGATGTGTGTCCAAAATTTCTCTTTTATTTATCTTCCAAATTGTCCATTTTATCATTATTTTTTTAAGTATTCCGTAATTACTTTCAAAACTTGAGTAGGTCCATGTTTCTGTGTCTTAAGGTGTCTCTATTATAACTGTAAAATCAATATGATAAATTTATTATTACTTGTTTTTTTAGATGCTAATGGGGCTATTATTCACTACCATGTGAATGATAGCGGTAATAGTGCACCGGTAACTGCTTCTTCCCTATTTCTGGTTGATTCTGGAGGCCAGTACGAGACAGGAACCACGGATGTTACACGAACAGTTCATTTGGGAACTCCCACTGAGGAGCAGATTGCAGATTATACGCAGGTGCTAAAGGCTCACGCAACCCTTGCCAGTTTGGTGAGTTTATGGCAATGCTTTTTTGTCTTGGAATTTTCATGATTCTTGTAGTTAGTCATTTCACTCCCTAACGGGTGATTGGCCTTCACATTGGGTAACAATTTATTGGTTATATTAATATCCCCTCACAGCTAGCCTATGTTTTTAGGGTTATTACCACCGTATAATATAGTCGAAGATCTCCTATCGCAAAATGGCTAGATTGGTTAATTATAAATTGGTTCGTTTGAAGCTTGGCTGGTTATCTTTGTGATAACTTCGTATATGAAACTCCCAATTCAACCATTCGACCATGTATGATTATATTGCTAAGGGTGCTATGTTAAAATTACTTTTTACGAATTTCTAGTGTTGGTGTAATTAACTTCTAATGAATTCATAATTTGTTTTGCTTTCAATATTTTCGTTGTGCATACTGGGGTATTCGATGGATCATTTGTCCAGAAGTGTGTTTGTTTTTATCAGATGTGCTAGAGGTGTCTTCACGCGCACACACACA